TGTTTGGTGGTTTTATTAAATATAGCTGCTCAGGTTGCATTTGTTTGTGGAAATGCGGAGATATGACAGAACTTTTTCCGCACCCTGTATTCCGCGTGTATCTGGCGCTGGTCCAACGCGCTCCGCGCGTGTCTGGCGTCCGCCTTCGCGCGTCGAGCTCAACGCACATTTTTGAGCATGCACAAAAATTGTCGACGCACGCGACGAATGACGACGCATGATTCCGTTCGCCCAGCGCGCTCGACGAACGAGTAACGAATGCATAGCGCAGGACGACGCACTGGCCAGAATGAATGAATTTTTGGTGCGCGGGCCGTGCGTCGTGTATGTGTGACCGGGGCTATAACAAGCATTCCTGGATAAAAAAGCCTCTGCTGTAGCTTTAGCACTTCGGTACGTAGCTAAAAATTGTTGCTCGTGATTGTAAGCCATAAATCAAGTTTGAGCTAGCCATATGATTGGCAGCATTGGGAATGATCCACTTGTCAACTGCAGTCACGATAAATAAATCAAACTCATGGCAGTTAGGAAATGTTGATATCTGTCCCTGGCTGAGTGACTGCAGTGAAATGGCCCGGCCCATGCCCCTCCCCTTTCCCCTCCTACGCGACGGTTACATAAAGGTGATTTTATGGCATGCTTTGTTACAGTGTAACTGGGGCAAAGCGCCCCCTGGGGCTGATCTTCTTGCCCCTGCTACGCTGTGCCCCATTACCCGCGCGTCAACTAAATCATACTTTGTCACCTGACGCACCCACGGCGTAAGTGACGCAAACTATGTTTGGCAGAAATAAACAAGTATCTCCCATGAAAACTATGGCAGTATGAGTACGTTTGCATGCATCTTTAAACATTAAGTCACGAACTCACTAGTTAAAATGTCGTGAATATTGCATGAAAACCACATAAAAAAACTTACCTTAGAGCAGCTCCACCCTCCGATCAATCTTGTCAAAAAAATATTGGCACAGCAGAAATAATAGTCGAGCTTTCTGGAGCGCTTGTTCATTGGTCGGCAGGATCTTAAAAAATATGAGATATTGACGTGGGGCGCATTACCTCGAGGGTGCGCGTTGCCCCGGTCTACCCTACCTCAAGGGCCAAAAGCTGACATAACACCGTGGTGCGAAACGATGAGGTAGGAGGTTTGTTTGATGAGGAATGCTAAAATGATGCTGAAAGTAGGCTGAATGTAGCTGGCTGAATATAGTAAAAATGTAGTAAATGTAGCTAGCTGGATGAATGTAACAGGGCTAAACAAGGTTAGAAAACAACGTTCACTTCCTTTGGCTTCAGCATTTCTATCGATTGCGTCTTTCTATCGGTTGGACTATGGGTTGCCGTTATTCGGCTATTGTATATTGAAAGAAATAGTAGAAAAACACGGAACGAATAGTGCATAGACGTGTTTCGATTATTAAACCCTCATCAGCATGACATAAGCACAAAGAAAACAAGATGTTTGATGATTTCGGCTAAAGTAATGGGTGGTGGCTGGCGAAAATCCTTCGCTGTTGCTATTTGAACGCTCCGACGGCCGTGCCCTCGGGACACGGGTTGGTACGAAATGGTTTATGAAGCTGCGATTTATTGCTTTGCCTTTCTCAATATCCTGCAGTGTTGTCAACTTGTCATTGTTGCGGATATTATGACCTAACACCCCGCATAACTACATTGATTTTGACATGCTGACTATCACAATTTGTCTATGTTCTAAGGGGCTAAAGGGGAAATGTCAACTTCTTGAAGCGTAAATGTTTAAGAAACTAAGTTTTTTTTTCTAAACGATGAAGCGGTGTCAGCCGTCGGGCCTGTGTTTTTGAAGTGGCTACAATATGCTTTATCTAAATAACATGATGCGTAGCTTTTTTTGTTTAAGTTCCAGGTCACGGCATCGATTGCTTCTTGCCGAGTGCTAGTCGATCTTATTTTTTTTTACAAGGAAATGTGGATGTGACATTCTTGAAAAGGAAAAACTTAAATGAGGAATATTCCTGCTTCTTACAAAACTAAAAAAACTCCCTTTTGCCTAGCTTTATTTCTCAAGTGGAAGCTTCGAACAACATGAATAATATAACAGTCTTTAAAACAGCGAGACATAATTGAAGCCACATCTGTGATGGTGAGACTGGGCTACAGATGTGGTGGTCTGGTTGGACTAATCACTGTCAACTATCCCACCACACAATTATCGACGCACACGCCGTGTTGATGCTAATTAAACCTGTTACCGTGAAGCTAGTTTAACCACCATTGGCTCGTTATACAAGTGCATCCCGTCATTGCCCGGGGGTATAAAACCACCTACAGTGGGAAGGAGGACACACACTCACTGGAGACAGTGAGACTGAGTCATACCACAAGCCAACCCGACAATGAAGCTGCTGGTGGTCGCCGCCTGCGTGGCGGCCATGGCCGTGGCCGTGCCTCTGGACTCCCGGGTCGAGGACCAGGACGAGCTGGAGATGCACGAGATGAACGCGCCCACCTACCAGGAGGTGCAGCAGAAGATGGGCCTCGGTGACGGCGCCTCCCTCTCCCGCTCCGGTAAGGTGCTGGACTCGGTATTCTGGAAGGAGATCGCCCAGGACATCCTGAGGACCAAGCTGGCCGATCCCGTGTACGATCACCAGGCCAAGAACGCCGTGCTCTTCATCGGAGACGGTATGTCTATCGCTACGCTGGCGGCCGCCAGGAAGCGCAAGGGTCTCCTTAGCGGCGCTGATGTGCCCGAGCACACCATGCTCTCCTGGGAGACTTTCCCCTACCTGGGACTGTCCAAGACGTACAACTGCGACCGCTGGACGGCCGACTCCGCCTCCACGGCCACCGCCTACCTGACCGGCGCCAAGGGTAACTTCCTCACGGTCGGTGTCGACTGCTCCGTCCTCATCTGGAACTGCGATGCTGTCAACGAGGCCTCGTCGCCCAAGTCGATCCTCCGCTACGGTGTGGAGGCCGGTAAGTGGGTTGGTCTGGTGTCCACCGCCCGCATCACGCACGCCTCTCCCGCTGCCACTTTCGGCCACACTGCTTACCGTACCTGGGAGTCGGACGCCGACTTCGTCGCCATGGAATGGATGACCGGACCCGTCAAGGACTCGTGCAAGAACGCCATGAAGGATCTGTCGACCCAGTTCGTCGAGCGTGAGGGCATCGACATCAACGTCGCCTTCGGCGGCGGCTGGGGCAAGTTCACGCCGAAGGAGGTCGAGGGTGGCTCCCGTCTGGATGGTCGTGACCTGATCCAGGAGTGGAAGGACAAGCAGGCCTCCCTGGGACGCAGCTACGCCTACCTCACCACCAAGGATGAGCTGAACAACTTCGACGCCACCTCTGCCGACTACGTGCTGGGTCTGTTCAGCCGCAGCCACATGCAGTACCGTGCCTTCCAGACCCCCGACGACGTCAACCTGACCGAGATGGTGAAGAAAGCTCTTGAGATCCTTAAGCGTGGACCTAATGGATTCGTTCTGTTCGTTGAGGGCGCCAAGATCGACCACGGCCATCACTACGGTAATGCCTACACGGCCATCGACGAGACCATCGAGCTGGAGGAGGTCGTCCAGCACGTCATGGACAACACTGACGAGTCGGAGACGCTGATCGTGGTCTCCTCGGATCACTCGCACACCTTCGGTATCAACGGCTACCCGGAGCGCGGCCTGGACATGTTCGGCCCGTCCTCCTTCCTGGCCGGCGGCATGCAGAAGGGAGGCCCGCCGCCCAGCCTGCCGTACCCGATCCTGCAGTACGCCAACGGTCCGGGAGGCACCGAGGACTGGGCTGAGTTCGAGGCCAAGCGCGCTCGTCTGACCGACATGAGCGAGACGGCCGAGTGGCGCGACCCGCACTACAAGCAGATCGCCGGCATCTACCTGCCCAAGGAGACTCACGGTGGAGAGGATGTGGGCATCTTCGCCCGCGGTCCGGGCGCCCACCTCCTGCGCGGCAGTCTGGAGGAGAACGTGATCCACCACGTCATCAACTACGCCCTCTGCCAGGGAGACTTCGCCACTGTGTGCGATAAGAAATAAGTTGGCCCTAGAGTTTGCTCGATGATAGCTCGTTAGTAGATCCGCGTGCAGAAAATGTTACGGATAACCCAAAACATCTGCATAGTGCACTCAGTTGTCAATAAATGATTCCCAGCAGGATTTCTCTCATTATATTGCGGTAGCTACATAACTACTCTCGTTATCAAGCTGTTCACTCAGGCCTGAGGCCATATCCTTTTTTGTGTGACCATCAAAGTGAAGTGAATTTAGTGTGCTAACCTTTGTTAGAACTCATATTGTAGCAATTATTTCCCCTACGAACAAGTAAATTCGTATTACAAATGCGTGTTTTTTTAACAGTTATTTCCAGAATCTGACGTATGTGTATGGAACTCTGTGCATGAAAACATTCTTGAAAGGTATGGGTCCTTGGATGCAAAATTCTAAGGCACAAAAAAAAATCGATTCGCTCGTGTTGAGAATACGTTTCGTTCGAAGCATACGCGGTTAATCTTCTCCCATTCACTTAGAATGGTGGCGTATTTAACCTTTTTTGGGTGACTGATATAAAACAAAATTGAGATTGTTTGCTTTGAACACGTCTGTTACATCATGTCACCCTGATCAATAGCTGAGTCTCAAAGCAGCCGTTTTGTCGGTCTAGCTGGGGTTAACGTGTTTTCTTGAGATGAATTCACTTCTGTGAACTAGTGACTAGGCCCTAGGACCTAGCTAACCCAGAGCTAAAATTTCACAAACACTGTGCGGAAGAAATTATGACAATTGGTGCTAAAAACTTACGAGTAAGCTAAAACCATAATGTGGCGTGTTCGAATTCCCTGCACCTCCTCCACCTGAGGCTGGGGTAGGACAGTCATTACCGACCATCTTGATGATGGTCGGATAATAGTTAGCACGCACTACTGCACACTTTCCCCTTCCCCACACTGAGGGCTAGGATCAACATACCGTTATACTAATGGACCTATGAAAATCACGATATACAAAAGGACATTTTATTTGGTCACTCCTTCCAACGTTAAGACTTCTTTGTACTAACAAATAGATAAAAGAAATTGCAAACGAACTTAAAAGGTGTCAGGGAAATGAAGCTCGAACAAAACGTCACGGCTCAAAGAAAATAATAATCAACCAAACTCTTCTTGACGATTTTGAATATCGAAAGTGAATATAAACAGGACAACTCTTGCTATTTTCTGCAGTCGGTCTTGATTGTTATTTTCTTCCGTGTCTTCGACTCCCTGCCCATCTTGCCGGGCCGACCGGATGGCGAGTCTTTCGGAGACTGGGACAGGTAAGTGTCGATGAACCGCTTACTAATGTCGTCGTCCTGTGGTGTCGAGCGGCTGGGGCGGACCCGCGGCGCAGACCTCACAGACAGTCCGCTGCACGACTTGGGCGTGCGGATTTTGACGTCCTGATAGTTAACGGTGCGTCCGCCGACCATCGTTTCACCCTTGGATATCTCCATCTGCAGCGTGCTGCCGGCAGATACGCGCGATTTGGTCGCCGCCAGGCAGTCGGTCATCGAGCTGGGGTGTCGCGAGATGCGCGTCACCTTGGTCTGGATGCGGCCGTCGGACACCAGGTCGTTCTTGAGCACTACTTGACGGATGCATTCGCGACGCATGAACTCGTCGGTGGCCTGTTTCAGCCACCGTTTGGGATGCCTCATTCGTCGCGCGTACGAGTCGCCTCCGTCGACGCTGGATGCTGTGCAGGTGCTGCTGACTGCCGTTGACGAAGTGTCGTCGAGCAGGTCTCCGACAGAGCGTGTCGGGCTCGTCCACGGTCGCTGCCGCGCTCTCCGCGGCTGCTCCTTTGACTGCGTCGATCGCCGACGCACAGCGCCAGTTCCCGTCAAATCTTCGCTGCCCGAAACCACTCTCTTCATGGCCATGCAGCAGGGACACGAGCCGCATGGCTTGGAGCGGGCAGCTCCCGGTCGCTTCCTCGCTCCGCCGCGCGCTCCGTCCCCTTCGTCATCCTGCTTGACGTCTGTCTGTGTGGACGACTGTCGAATGCGGTAACTCGTGTCCAGAGACAAGGACGACTCGTGATACATACCGGTGTCGGAGTAGGCAACTTTCGGGCTTACCAGGTCGGGCAGCTCTTCGGGAACCTCGTCGTCCGTGTCCCCTTCTTTCATTTCGGCGTTGGATGGAGCCATTACTATCGGTTTCTTGGTGTCTTCGCCGTACATCTCCTTGAGCTTGTCAGTGATACCCATTTCGTCCATCTGTGTGGAGACACGCCTCAGCCAGTCGAACACATTGTCCTTGCTGGTCGCACCTTCATCATCCTTGATGGTCTCCTGAGAGCCGCTGCTGGACTCCGTTGCAGTCGTCTCCTCTTCCGTCTCACCGCTGCTCTCCAGATCCATGTCGTTTGCGTACTGTGCCAAAATGTCGTCAGCGTCTTCGTCATCCTTTGCTCGCGCTCCGTCTGAGGGGCCGAGGTCTAATTCTGTGTCCGTAGCTATTCGCTCAGCGAAAGCCTCTCTTTCCTCTACGGTGCTCCCAGACTTAGTCATTGAGAGCAAGTGAGGTGCAACAATATCCTTGGCCAGGAATGAAGACTTTGTTCGTAGTGACATTTTAGGCACAAGTGCATCACTTTCGTATGCTGGTAAATTAATCAGATCAGGATCTACCGGGTCGTGAGGCTCATCGGCATGCATAACGGATACCTTCACGCCGTCATCTTCGATTCCGCGCCCGTATTCTCCCTGCATGTCTTGCATCTGGTCCGCGGCATCTTGCTCATCGCTGCCAATCTGTGCATCGTCGGCTAACAGATCTTTATCCACATTTTCAGAATCGTCCTGGTCTTCCGCTGCCGCCATCTCGGTGTCCTCCAGCATTTCATCCGCACCTTCCCCGGCCACTTCTGTTCCGACCATGACGGCACCGTCCTCGGGCTCGCCAGCCAGCATATCTTCCGTGATGCCGTCGGTTGATGTGACATTCTGTGTTTGGTCACGAATCTCGCCCGTCTGGTAGCGGATGCGATTCGAATCCATCGTGTCTTGACCCTCATCCATCATCTCATCAGACTCTTCGGAGGATGATAGCGAGCCCAGCACCGGCCCTTCGTCCTCATCCTCTTCTGCCGAGTCGGGCTCGACCGGCGGCTCGGGCTCGGCGGGAGGCTCCGGCTCCACTGGTTCAGGCTCCGGCTCCGGCTCGGCTGGCTCCGGCTCCGGTTCCAGCTCGGCCGGCTCCGACTCCGGTTCGGCTGGCTCCGGCTGCGGTTCGGGCTCGGCGAGGGGCTGCTCGACGCCGGCCGCCTCATCAGACGATTCGGCCGGCGCCTCGTCCGGACTGGGTCCGTCGTCGATTGTTAGCTCGGCGGCCTCCTGCTGGGCTGCGTCGACGACCTCTGTGTCACCATCAGCCGCGGGCTCGTCCACTGGCGACTCCTCGAGGGACGCGTCAGCATCTTCGGCAGCTTCGGCTGCGGCGGCGTCCAGTGGAATGGCTTCGGTGTCCTGACTGTCATCAGGAGAGGCCTCTTCAAAGTTGTCGTCATCCTGATTCGTCTCTGACGTCACCTCAGATTCTTCATCCATGCTAGATTTATGATCCTTTCCGTCTCGTGAACCCTGGAAACGCGATAGTTTTGTCACGTCGATGAAACATCCTAGGAGTTGTAGAGGTGAATTAGCATGCAGGTACTGTGATTGTGCAGTTTTCGAACATCAATTCAAGTAAAAATAAATGTTTGTTTCCTATCTTGGTTTTATTATTGACAAAGCAAGTGGGCTGTTAAACTACGGTATGCAGAAATGCATATCTGAGTAAGCTGCTCCTACTAATTGTCAACATCTAATACTTAAAAGGGGCTCTTTCAAACGCTGAGTAGAGTTAGAGAGAATCTTATCCTTCTCTCTTGCAAATTATGACATTACTAAACGTATGGGTATGAAAATGATGCTGCAACAAAAAGTTTGAGTAACTAATTGAAAATTTACATTTGTACTCTTTGAAATGCTCACAACATGCACGCTCAAAGTTTCGGGCGCGGTCTTTTTTAGAGTTTGGATTACAGAGATCTGATGCATATCGATACGAGTAATTCCACTAAGCATCAACCGTACCTAAATTCATCTTTGATATTTGAATAGGTCTCACATTGCGTAGCATTAAAAAGTAATTGTTAAATGAAGTCATCATCATCGGGCGTGACTAGTTGAAAGGTAACGTCATGTGAAAAGCAAAGCGATATTTGTTCATACCTGTGGAGAGTGGCTGATCGACTGTCTTATGCGAAGTCTTCGAGCAGCCGTCTCTTCATCCTCAACTATGTTAGACGCTTCTCCCAAAACCGATTGGGTGATTGCGACTGCGATGGCAGCGATATCCTGTGATGACGGTCCTATCTTTACTTCATTATCTGCAGACTGCTCAATGCTTGTTTCGTCCAGAGTAGCGGTTTCGTAACTTGCTTTTGTAATCAGTTCATACGTTTCATTTTCATGTAAGAATGGCTTCTCTTCCGGCTGTATGCCATGTGATTCCTCGCTTACATTTTCGTTGATTGTGCTATTTGATTCGTGAATATCCTCGTGTGCTGGATATACTTGAATATTATTGTTTGAATTAACAGGCAAATTTGTGTACACGTCTAATATTTTGTCGTTTACTGCCAAAGTAATTTGTTCTGAACCTGACTCATTTCCAGGATTAATTGCTCCGTAATTACTTTCCTCACTACGATCAGCCTCGTGCCCTGATGAATAAGAGACTCCTCCATGTAGTGTTTGCTTTATGAAGCTTATAACCTTATTCGCTGCAAAAAAGATTTGATCTTCAGCTGCTTCAATCACCCCTTTCACTCTAGCTCCGTGGATTGCTTTTAGTTCTGCTATTGAAGTATCGTGCATTTCTGCTTGTTCTTTAATTTGTTCGTATATTATATCCGATATTGTTTTATCTGAAGCCCCGTCTTCAATATTGGCATAACATTCTTCAGATTGTTCATTTTGACTGATTGTATCTGTATATTTGGTCTCCGCTGAGGCTAAGATTTCTTTCACTTTGTAGCGATGAAGTTCTTTAAGTTTTTCGATTAACTGAGCCCTACTTTCGTCGTCGGGTGAGATTTGAGTCGGTTGTTCAATTTCCTCTTTGTTTTGTTGGTTAAATTCATCAATGCTGGTGTCATGTTTTATTTTTTCTTCACGCTCATTTTCCTTCTGTTTTTGCTGAACAATTTGCCTAGAATTTGTGTTAAGCCGCAGCTCGGAACCTTGCACCTGGTCAACAATGCCGCTAGCCATTGCTATCAAGCTCCATACTAACTTTCTGGCGCCAGTAGTACTTGATTCAATGCCTAACTTGGTGGTAGTTTCCGTTCCGAAAATTTCATCATCATCAAGCGTAGCCGTGCTCTCTCCGTCACTCGCGAGCCGAAGTCTGTACCTGCGATATTCGTCTTCATCCATCTCACTTCCCGTTGTGTATTCAGAGACCTCGGAGCGCAGGTCGGAAAACATCGATGAACGGCTATCCGACTCTTTTAGTACGTCTGTGCTGCCAGTGGACATATAGGATTCACCTTCATCAGATACCACATCCCACTTCCCTGTCCTGGACATGGCGTCCTCCTCCTGAGTGTGCGTCCTTGCAGTACCTTCAGCGCTGGACGCATTTGTTCTTTCACTGTCAAGAAGGGCTAACGCTTCCAGACGAGCCTTTTCATCGTCATCTTGAGACTTAACGTCTGTTGTTGCTTCGTTTGGAACTTCTTTGACACTTGCATGTTCTGAATCATCTTCCGATTTTTGTTCGTCATCGTCAGTATCCGAATCAAATGACTCTTGTCTGGAAATGTCCGATGTAACGGCGCCCAAACCATCAATGTCTAGCGTCAGTCTGGTGGAGGTCTGTGTTGCAATATTCGGTGCTCCTTCTGTCATACTGGTGCTTCCTTCAGGTGCCTTTGGTGCCGAATGATCTATGGCATCTGGTTCAGCGTCGGTAATATCCGATGTGGGACTGATTTCACTTGTACTGTCAGCTGTAATTCGTGGTTCCACGTATTGCCGCGTGCCATCGCTCTCAACCATGACCTGAGTGACTGGAGCGGAGGACTCTTCATCAGGTGCGCCGCCTTCCTTTCGCTCAGATACATTTTCTGTATTTATTTGCCCATCATTTTCGTTCACTGAAGTTTCTTCATCAACATCAATTTTATTAGTGCCGTCTGCTTCGTCCTTTTCATGCATATTTTCTTCATCACTTGTCTCCAATGACGCCTCCTCCAGCTTTTCCACTGCTTCAGTCTCTACCTTTCTGATCACTTCTTTGGCCTCAGTTGTAAGCGCTGTGCTCTCTTCTTCGGATCCAGTGGCATTGTCATCAATGTTTTCTGCACCGTTTTCGATTTGCGTCGTCCCAGCTTCAATGATATTTTCCTGGCGTCCAACTTCAGCTTTTCCAGCCCCGTGAACCTCAGTGTCCTCCTGCGCCTCTCCCTTCTCCTCCCTTTCCGCATGCCCTGTCTCTGTCGTGTGCTGCTCCAGGTCTCCGTGCATGATGATGCTGTGCAACTCTGTTTCTTCGTCAGCCTCGTCTGCCGGTCCAGCCGCATCGGCAGGCTCTGCCGGATTGTGGTCGGTCAGCAGTTGCCCAGAAATGGCCGCCATCGAGTTAGCCGGTCCGACGCCGGAGGGTACCGCGCGGGGCGCATCCTCTTCAGAGCCGTCCCGCAGCAGGCGATCGGCAATGGACGCGAACGAGCGCACCGGCTCGTGGTGCGACATCTCGCTCTCGGAGATTGCCCCGGAGGCTCCGCCGGAGTCAACCGGCGTGGGCACTTGCGACACCTCGCCCGGCGACTTGGCCATCATCTCCATGCTGCCGGTCTGGCCGGGCGATCGCGCCTGCATGTCGGCAGCGGGCGGCAGCAGCTCGCCAGCGGTACCGGTAACCAGGGAGGTGCGTCGCTCCCTCAGTGTGTCCGTGTCCGAGTGGGAGCCGAGCACCTCGACGGCGGGCAGCGAGGCGCGCAACATGCTGCGCAGGGCGGCCGAGTCGCGCCGGCCTCCCTCTGCGCTCGACACGCGACTGGATTGTTCTGATCCTCCTGGAGAAGGGTCAGCTGAAGGAGGCTTTTGGTCTGGAGCGCCGGGAACGTTATCGTCAGCCGGGGGAGGCGGGCGAATGGGCGCTGGACTGGAGTCTCGCTCGCCCTCACTGCTGGCTTGGATGGTCTCGGACGAAGCGGTCTGATGTATTGTCTCGTCTGGATTGGATGACTTTTCTTTATCGTGTACTTCTTTGTCAGCACCATCGGCTGCTTGTTGGCTGTTGCTGGTGTCTGATGAATTGTTGGCTGAAGAAGGAGACGGAGTGGTCGCTTCTGAACTTGGATGGTTGTTTGACATTGCGTTTGGCTCAATATTTTTGTTCTCACTTTGGAAATTACGACTCCCGGCATTGGTCTCAATACTGTCTTCTTCCCTAGAATGTTGTTGCTGATTTTCTGTTTGTCCTGTATCATTTGTGTGATATGTTTCGTCTTGAGCTTCAATATCCTGTTCCTCTGGTGCAGGTTCCACTTCACTGCCACCAGGCTCGTTTGTCGCCACCTTGTCCTCGTCCCGTCCCGAACCATCCTCCTCGCCGTCGGTGAGTGGTGGCGGACTGGTCGGCGGACTGGTCGCCAGTCCCGAGTCCACCTCAGTGGGCACGCTCCCTGCCTCGCTGACGGAGTCGGCGATCTCTGAGTTGGTCTCCGACCAGGCGCTGTCTCCGGCCTCACTGGTCGCATCCGACCCGTCCGCCGGCAGCGGCTCCTCGTCCAGCAGCATCAGCGCCTCCTGGTGCGCCTTGTGGTCCTCGGTGATCACCTGTAGGTACTGCAGGAACTCGTCGATGGTGTCAGCGAAACTGGTGCGCCGCTGTCCGGGTGTAGGCTCACTGGGAAACGCGTGGCGACGCTCCTCGCGGAACGGATAAACCTCGCCCTCCTGGATGTCAGATTCGTCGTCGTCCACCGTCTGCCTGCCTTGTTGCTCGCGAAGGTACCGAGCGACGTGACCGCTCGGATCGATGGCCGAATGTCCGCTGGACTCGCCCTCTTCGTCACTGTAGCTGCCGACCGGTTGAAGGCTGCGCTCCCGCAGCATCTCCAGAAGACGCTGGAAGCTGTCGCCCGGCGTCTCCTCGCTGTCGCTGTCAGTGCTGGCCGTCGCCACGCTGCCTTCATCATCACTACCACGACCACCGCCGCCCGGCTCCGGAGTGAATAACAGAGTATCGGGGGCGTTCTCATCGAACGTCACCCGTCGGCTGCTTCTTGGACTTGCCATTGACACGCTATCATCTTCTCCGTCAGTCGTCGCCACCGTCGAAGTGGGCTGCTGCCTGATGGCCTCCTCGTCATCGTCAGGACCCGAGGAGAATGGCTCGCTGTTGACCGATGTCCGATCTTCGTCTGTGCTCGCTCGATCCCGAGGCAGCTTCTTTGCTGCGGTGTCCGACATCTCTTCTGACTGCTGACTTGAACTCTGCTCGGACGCTTGGGCCGACGTCTCACCGGTTAACTGTTCTTTTGCGCTGCCTTCCGTTTGCTCTTGTCTCGCGACTAGCTGGGTACGGTCAGATGCGTCATTCTCCTGTGTGGCTGGCGGACTGCCCTGCTCCGTCTGCTGTTCTCCGGTCCTCTCTGCCGACTGCTCCGCGGATCCCCCGGCTGCTGATCCCGTCCCGCTGGTGGTGATTGCCTCCCTGCTGGCCGGCTGTCGCGGCGAGTCGCCGTCGCTGACCGTTCGTGCTGTCCGTCGTGGTGAGTTGATTCCGGTACCCGACTGTGTCCTCGGCCGCGCTGGCTGCGCCGCCTTCCGTTTGCCTGTGGGATCAATAATTGTGTTGCTTTATGCGGCGCGAGCCATTCCTGTCATTTTTCGCCATGCGATAAGATTTTGCCCTCGGTCCTGTAAAACGATGCCGTATACATTACTTCAGATCAATTTTACCCGCATAATTCTAAATGGGTCGTCAGTTCAAGAACTGTACCTAAACAGTTTCGATCTTGAATTTGTTGAATTTCAGCAGAAATAGTGTTTCAATGTGCAAATTTAAGTCAGAAATAAGATTGAACTAAGATTGACCTTATCATCATGCACAATAACAACAAATTTGTAGTGATTCTGCTTTATGATAATTTTCAAATATTTCAAATGAAAGTATTCCCGGGGAAAAAACATCTACAAATATCTTCTCTTCTGTGTTTTTATTTGCGATTCCAATGTCAAATTTTATTTCGAGATAGGCCATGGATGTGATCGAGAAATACAGTCACTCTGCTGCCGAAACTGGTGAGTAGTTAGCCACAAAATTAGCAACAACTTTTGCCTAGCAATATCAAGCAGTATATCTCCGATACTATGAAACAGGAAAATAAGACTTTACGTCATATCGGACAGATGGTTGTTTAAAACAGTGTGCAGAGGGGGTTTTCGCCTACCCCCACCCCTCCTTCCCCGCCTCAGCCAATGGAGGCTGAAGCGGCTGTGTCTATGTAGCGAATCTTACCTATAGAGATGTAATATAAGATCTCTATGATCTTACCTTTATTGGGCGTCGACGCGGACCTGGTCCTCTTCACATCTCCGGACCGTTTGGGACCAGCGAACAGCGACGAGACGGCGCTGACGCCGGACCGAATGAACGACAGACTCCGGGAGCCCAGAGACGGCTTCTCCGACGATGTAGAGGCGGCTGCTCTCGGCGTGCCAGTAGCGGAGGAGGTGGAGGCGACCGCTCTCGGCGCGGAGGACCGGCGTCCAGTGGACGTGGAGGGCAGTGAGGCGGTGGCCTGCACCCTGTCCTCGGTCGGCGCCGACCCGCCGGCCGTCGGCTCCGGGTACAGGTCACTGAGCACCGACCTGAAACGGGTAGACCGCCAGAGGTCATCGAGCGTAAATAATAATAAGAATCAAGATACAACAAAGTAAGAATAGTTATGATCATCACCGCACATGTCGTTGATCTCTTATAGGTATCCCGCTGTTGTCTGATTGCCTTCATGCGGCACGAAAAAGGGTATATGATTTAATGGACATTTTTATTCATTGAGTTTACTCTGATGTCATTTGCTTGATAGGACTTCAGAGCATGAATGGGTGATAAGCTCGTCTAAATTTATTTTTATGTGACACGACACCGTTGATACATAATATTCATTAACATTTTAAGTGCCCAATAAAATATCTATCGAAGTATCCGACCGCGTTTGATTTTAGACACTTTCCCGGGCATCAGAATGGCGTTGAACAGTTTGACAAAATATTGACATTTGCTCCATACCCTTTTCCTATATGTGCCTTGCTACAGGAAAAGGGCATTTTATTATTTATTTTACGAATAGATCCGTTCAGCCAGACACTGGCGGATCCACAAAGACAGTCTTGGATGCTAAGGGGGGCTTATACCCCCAAAAGATAGAAAATCCAAAAGCTCAAATATCGATTTTTACGCCCTGCTGCTCAATGTTCAGTTTAAAGCAAACTTTTCCTCATAAAAGATGATAAGGTAACTTTATCATCGATTTCGTGCGCTGTGGGGTGGAGGGAGTGCTTCCCGCCTCAAAGTCAAATGCAGGACAAAAAAAAAAAAATGCAGGACAGGCTCTTCCGTTTGTGCATGTAACTTTTAACATAAGGCATTCAATGTCTCTTAATTGGCGTTAGGTGCCTTACTTTTGATTTGAACGTACTGCTTACCTCATTGAATAATTCCTCTTGTACGCCGATCTTTGCTACATCTCGATCTTCATTCAATTCGAATCATCCCGTAAATGCCTCCATAGCTGTTTAGTTCATGACTACTAAAAATTTATAGGAAAATAAAGCACCATTCATAATTTGTAAAATGTAAGACAAAGTTATTTTCAGGATTCATTTCTAACGCGCCATATGCGCCATATCGTCTTTTTGGTCATTCGTTGACCTTATCCTATTACACGTGCAAAACTTATTCAATCGACCTCTCATACGTACTTTTGAATACGTGCCAGAAACATTCGGATTCGTATGACTCATCAATGGATACTCACTCAGTGGGTACCGGAAATGTACCAATGAAGTTGAATCCATACATTAGTCATAGTCGATGGCCATTTCGCAGAATTTGTCTATCCACGGTCAAATGTTGTTGACTTTAACACTAACAGTAAAACGTTGTACGTAAACGGCACTGGCTACAACCGTTAGCTTTGACAGCTTTTTTACAGTGATACCATGTTTCACTCTCGTATCAATAGTTAACAGTCGTTTTTTTTTTCTTTATGAACTTGATTTGCAGCTTCGTTGAAAAATTAAAGTATTTCTGGTGAAGTTAATTTATTGTTTTTATTGTTGCTGCGATGCTTGTGACATTTTCGTTAATATGCAATGTTTAGGACTGTTCGATGATTTCCTTCCGTTTTCTCGAAGTGATATTTAGCATTCTTATATTACATTTATAATTCTGGTTAACATTGAGTTTACCAAGGCCCGCATAACATGACCCGTATACACCGGCATTTTCTTTTCTTTTTTGTCATCTGTATCTACCCCTCCCTCCGTGCGTATGCGGGTATGCCTCTGCGGTTTCCTGCTCGATACGCTGCTAGACTTCTTTGTTTGACACGATCTGACTCCATAATATAAATAATAACGGGCCATTACCGGACCATACCGGTGTGTCCCCACGTTTAGTGGCGGCGTGCAGTGCAAAATCGTGCGGCCGTCCCTGGCGCGCTGAGGCGAACCATGACCAAGGGCCCATTAGGATGTGCGCCAGATCGCGGCGGCTCGGCCAGCACTGGCGGATCAGGAGCGCGCCGCGGGCGCACGAGCTGCTTCCTGGTGTGACGCCAAGGTCGGCATGCAGACGATCATTGCAGCACCCTCGGGGCCCTGCCCCCCCCCCCCCCCTCTGTCCCCCTCCCCCCCCCGACCCTGCGGCAAAATACTCCACCGGCCGCGTCACGGCCTGGCTTCGTTCCAATTCACGGCCGTAGTCGCAGGCAAATGGCTTTCGTGAGTTTGTGGCCGTAAGTTACGAGTTGTTGTTTTAGGGTTATTGTGGGCTGGTCTTGAGGTAGGTCATGATAAAGAAACCGGCCATTACGTCGTGTTTACGCTACTGATTTCTGCACTGTCACTGTCATTCAACCGCAACAAACTGGAGCATCAACCTGCAGCAGTCTGATTTATTTGAACCCGGCATGGCCGGTTGTGTCTGTAACTCACCTCCCCCATACGGTGCCTTCCGGGGGTAGTCTGGGCTATATGTTCCGGTGCGATTTTATTCGATGGATCAAATTACCATACAAGAAAACCGTGAACATCAGAACCAGGTGAAAACGCAGCGATTGTAGTAGGCCTTAGATGTAGATGAATTAAAAAAAAAGATGAAGTTTCGAATGTGCTTTTTGTTGCTACGTTTTCCAAAGGTAAAGATCGAAACACTTCACTGCACACTGCACAGCACATTTCATTCTCGCAGTCGCCTCCATCTCTAATTGCGAAATTATCATTTTGGCATCGCACGGGGCACGATCCTCCGCCCCTCCTCTCCCCTCTCCCTCCCTGTCACCCCTCCCTCCCCTGAAGGGGTCAGTATCGCAGCGTCATGCCGCGTTGCCGTCCGTCCATTACGGGCCGCAGCCTCCAGAAGCATCACCAGCCGCCAGCCAAGCCGCTTTGTCTGCTCAAAAGTGCACTCGCCAGGAAAATGCCTGATTGAAGGACACGTTGTAATTGCACATCAGATGTAGTCGACCATGCAGTATGGCAATTATTGTGAAGGATTATGTTTCCAAAGTTGATGGAGTTTAAAGTTTAGGACCGCACGTTGCGAAATGCGAATGAAAATGCATCAATGAAGGACAGGTGCGTCGTTTTGGTGATGGCGAGTGCAAGTGCCTGAGTTTTGTAGGCATTTGTTGTAACTGTTTCCTACTCTTGTGTATGCTGTTGTAAATGATGCTTGTCTTGACTGGTGAGCCTGTTATCTCATTTTCAGACGACATTGCATATTTGTGATTTGCTTTCTTGAATCCAGATGACGTGTTGCTAGAGGGTTTTGTGTGGCGTGCTCCTGGCAGAAATGTATCTCCATTGGTCCATCGGCGGCCGTCATGGGCTTCTTGCGGTACTTGTCTTTGAACCGAATATAGGTAATCAAATTTCCTGTGTCCAAATGTTCGGATGAGGCCAGCTAAACTGAGTTCAGGTTCATTGAATAGGCCGTTCGTGATCTAACATGCACCACATTTTGTCAGACAAAGCCTTGAATTCTGTGACGTAATTTTCGCGAGTCACTATTTCATGACTCAGGTGACATGAATCGAGAGTCCCTCGTGCCGCTTCCAGCTCTATCCCAGGCATGGATGGCCGCTTCCAGCTAGCCAACACACTCTGTGACCACTCGACTGGACCTCTTTGGCCTCTGGTGAGGCAACGACGTGACTCGTGGAAATAAATCATCCTGGCAATGGGCCTCGAGAGTTTATCGGTTAGTTTCGTGACTTCCTAGTGGCACTGCTTATCTCGGCCATGGCTCTGCACGAGGTGGTCATCTTCATTTCAAAGCTGTGTCACATCACAAGGTCGTCTGAAGGGAGAAAATTTTATTCTAAGTAGTCACCGGAATTTCCGGCTTAGCTTGTGATGATGGGATAATTTTTTATACTTACCTACGGAAATGAATAATGATGTTAGTGAAGAAGCTGAGTTTAAGCAGTTTTTCACCAGGTTTAACACGCTGAGCTTAAAGGTTAAGGTTAAGCTATCTGTTGTGCTTACTGGGCTGACTCTACGCCAGGACGTCGAACAAACAGTGCCAAGAACACTCCGCAGAGCACCTGACCTGACTAAGCCAATGCCGACCAGGAAATGTGCTGATGACACGAACATGGCTGTGTGCCAGCAACCTCCAGTTGCTTCGTTGGACGTATGAAGGCAATATGGCTGGCCATTGCCTTTTTTGGAGGGTGGTGTTGCAATACGTATAATGCTTGTGCTTATCTTACTTTGCTGACAACCAATTCGATCGACAAAGCTATTTGTTTATATGGAGATATGAAATACAACCGAAGCACTTACACACTGAAATTACTCTTGTTCCATGAATTATATATTGCGTTGAACAAGTTGTTCTAAGTAGCAAGCAGCCTACAGCAGGTGTAACATTGTATTCACAATTGCACATTCTGGTGCACTTCGTGCATTGCACAGGTAGTACGAACCCTTTTGCTCTAAATATTTTTTTTTCATCTTCTGGTTTTCATTTCCGGTTTCTGATTCAATTATGCCGAGAGCACACACTCCCGGGAAATCAGTTTCAGCACTGATGCGGATGACGCTGCCACTCGTCGCCGCCGGCGATGGCCATAACTCTCGTGTCCTCGACAGCGCCGGCCGCGCAGGCGGGGGCGCCCCGCGCTGACCAGAGGCTATGGGTGCGCCGCGCGCCGCCACCCCTATATAACCAGCACGGTCCGCGGCCACGGCAGCACACGCCAGCCGCAGGTCCAGCAGGTCGAAGTGAGACACGTACAGCAGACATGCGGTCCGGGTACATTTTGCTTAGTCTCCTGCTGGCCTGCGTGCTGGACGCCAGCACGGCCACAGTTTTTATCGGCACCTCGGCCGGCGTGGCTACGGCCGCGGCCGTGGCCATCGGTGCCGCGGCCGTGCTCGGTTTGGGCGCCCTCGGCGTCGGAGCCGCCGTAGCCGCGGGTCGCGGCCGTCGCGGACGTGGACGCAGATTCCGAGGAGGACGGAGGTTCAGGTAAGGACGCTAGCGATAGCGTAGACGTGTGAATAGCTGGAATTTTTAACAACTAAAATACAGAGTATTCTGACCGTGTTTATATGCATATTGCCTACGCCAATGGCATTGTTATTGCGTTAGAAACGTTGCATTCCTCGACGATGCACATGCAGAGCCGCACATGACTCGGCCGTCGTGTTTGACAGGGGCCGTCGTGACGCCACCCTGGAGGAGCTGGATGAGGAGGAGGACTCCAACATGTGGGACATGGTCAGCACCAACGATCAGGCCGGCTGCGCGCGCAAGCTCATCTGCCTGCTGGAGGCGGCCGAGGGCCGGGTGGACCAGGACGAGCAGGTGGTGCTGGCCTTCCTGGGCGACCTCAAGGACCTGGCCAAGGCGCAGCGCGCCTCCAAGGTGCCTTACGAGGCGGCCGGCTGGCTGGGCCGCCAGCGCGGCGCCAAGGCCTGCGAGGCGGCGTTCGGCACCAGCTGCCCCTACAGCCGCGAGAACATGATGACCGTGGTGAAGACCATCTGGAGCACCGCGCTGCCGGCCGTCGACCAGGCCTGAGTCTGACCCCCGGCCCCTCTCTTTCCCTCCCGTTCATTGCACTCATCCGTAGACTAGTCCGTGTTACGTGTATGTGCTCATGTCGCTCATATGTGTCACTCACTGTGGCAAAGTACAGTTTTAAAGATGATATCACAAGTGATTGTTTAGAGATGACGTTGTTAAACATCATCCACCAAAAGTGAGGTATCGCCTCTATACCACTTCGTAACAGCTGTGGTAACACTAATCGTTTCGGTGCAGGATATGCTGTGTTGATATGGTCAATGCGTCAATATGAAATACAGTACGTCACACTGATATAATGTTTTTGTAGCTCGAGATGCCGACAAATGTGTGGAGAAGGTAACAGAAAAAGGATTGGTTGAGAAGTAGGGAAGTCAGATGGATATATGGTCGTGCCACGTCATGCTGCACGTAAATAACAAGTAAATAACTAAATTAAAATGAAATCGGACTTACTCCACAAGAGTTCGTTGGGTCAAAAAAAAAAGTAAATAACTAGTTAGTTAGCAAGTTTTAGCCACTCTTTCATGCAAGCAGTGTTAAAGGGACCCTCCCACCTTAACATTAGATTTGAGTTGAGATAGCCAAATTGGTGGCCATGGCCTGAAAATACCGGTTTGGGCACTCACAACATCGAAAAATGCTTTAATTCGGAGATATCGAATTTCAAACCTGCAGTTTTCGGATTCTAAGGGGCTAATGCATTGGTATGCCCCCTTAGAATTTGTGACGTCAGCGGAGATCTAACGATTTTAAATCTTTTACTAAAACGTTTGGTAGCACGCGGTGGTATATGCTGCTTTGCGCGCAACAAATGCCGCACTTTCAAATAAAGTCGCTAGGAACAGCGGAGATCCCAAAAAGTAAACAAAAGTAAAAGTCTAATATCTTGAAAACCGGTGAATATTTTTCGATGAAATTTGGTAGCTATTCGTTTTTGCTCTTTCTGAACCGAGCGACATCACTTTCATGCCAATTCATTAACTTTTTTGAAGGTGGGAGGGTCCCTTTAAGCCATATCATGCCATATCTATCTGCGGATTACGGAATAACATTTCATTAGCCATTAGCCATTTCATTAGCCTCTTTTGCATGCCCCCTGCTCGTCACGTGTGTCGTGTTACACGGCACACGTCACCTTCTACGTCCTCCTTCAGGCTTCCTCCTCTACGACGCCTGGTAAGCTGCACGACTTGTGTGTTTTCAAGTTGGACATTGTCGTACTGAGTTGCGAAATCGCATAAAATGACATTCGATGACTTTGAGTGACCTTAGAATTGGCCGGAGCGAAGCGTGACCTTCATGCATTCAACGTCACTCATGACAGGTCACCGGCAGGGGGTGATCTCATCGCTCGTGGCATGAGAGCCATCGAAAGTTTTTTTTTTTTCTGGGTCCCCTTGTATCTTTCAGCTTTTGGGATGGTCGTTCCGGCCATCCCCTCCCCCTCCGATGACGCCTATGCTGGCTGAAACTCCATCTGAACGGGGATGGTCATGACAAGTGCCTTACTACACTGATACGCGGGCTGCTACACTGATTGACTGAGGCTTTGAAACAATGATCGACTGATCAGAGTGACAGGATGTACAAAAGGTATATCTATCTCTGATTGTCGATATCTGTGACCTACGGTCAAGTAAATTTTGCAACTTCTATCAGATTTATAAGTCAGTGAGAGAAATTAAAACAACGACCCTTTTGGACGATACACTCTAAAATCGACTGGTATGCATCATGCCCTCTCCTGATCACGTTAATCAATTTAAGTTCAAATTATAGTTCATTTCACGCGCCTGAACAAGAGAAGCACGACGCCGTTAAATAAAATGAAAGCATAACTGTCAAAAGCTATTCCGGAGCTTTTTTTGCAAACAATAGGTCAGCTTGAGAGTTGTTGGAATCTCGAAGCTTAACCATTGATAGCTCTCTAGTTCGTTCCCGAGCAATGCGCCGATTTGTCAATAATTGTTGAAGCAGGCGGAATTTGATGTCTGATGACCTCTGGTAACTTAACCTTCCAGGCGGTGGGGGGATTTTTTGTCCCCCCTTTGTTTTTTTTTCTATATATATCTCCAGAACCGCTGCTCCGATCCTCACCAAACTTTTGGTACCCTCCCGTAAACAGCTATTGCACATTGTGACCAAAATTTTTCCAAAGGCTATGATAGGTTGGCCGCTAATGACGTCAGAGCGACGTCATTTCTGCCATTTTCGACAAAAAAAGGTTTCGTGGAAAGAGCTGTCAGGCCTACAACTTAAGAGATACAGAAAAATGTTTCAAGACATAAAAGATGTAGAATTAATTGACAGGGCTATGTTGTGTCCCGCTTCTGTCCACCTCGTCACACGCCCGGGAGACCCCAGAGTGCGGGTTTATTGCAGAAAAGCCAAAGGAAAGCACAACAGAACCGATTGTTTACATTTTCCCAATACCACGTTTCCGGAAGAGAATGAAACTGTAGTGATGGGGGTCCTCCTCACTCGTCATCACTGACCGCGTAAACTACAACTACTACACCTTAGTCTCTTATCAGGGCTCGACGTTAAATCTACGGAGACCCAAAGAACTCGATCCGACATTACAGATATAGGATCGCTTCTTCAACAAGAAACTAAATATACGTAATACAGTCACAGAAATCCAGCACTAAACAGAGTAATAAATAAATACAACTTCGGCGCGCCTGAGACATATTCGGCGCACAAACAAACTCCAACAGGCTACAAAACTGCTATCTCGGATTTTTGAAATGTTTCGATTTTGACCCCCAAAAATAAAAAAATAGATTTTTTAATATGATAGCCGAAAAATCCAAAAAGTTTCTTGAATTTCGAAAAAACGGAATATATGTGATAGTCCCTACCGTTTTCTATCTACATACCAAATTCGAGATCGATACCTCTTTTTGGCCAAGTTATAGCGAAAAAAACTGCTCAAAATTGATGTTGTCAAATTTTCAAACTCAATTTTTAGCAATTCTAGACCTCGTAGCGCAAAACGAAGACCACCATAAGACTTCCCGTGACGAGCTGCATCGAATCAATACCCATTTTATGCAAAACTATCAACTTAAAAATTTTTACCTTTTTTGACCTGACCTTTACCTGACCTCCACTAGAAAGTGACCTTAACTGTACCTGATGGTCTTATAACCAACACCATTGAGTTGGAAATGAAAAATTGGCCATAAAACATGCATCGCACAACCTTAGTAAAGTTGGGTTTATGTGGTGACCCTTGGTGACCTGACCTGTGACCTGACCTGGTATGACCAGTGACCTCTAATAGCAACATATGTACTAGACAACTGACGCCCTATCGCTGATTTTCGACAAAATACGTTTTCCTCGGTGTTATAGCGCTTTCCCTAGAAGACCCGTGAACGGTGAAACATTTTATCTTTGACCTGACCTGTGACGTCATCGGTGACCCCGAGGTCAATGAAATTTGATTTTCTTCGACAAATTTGACAGGGCTATCGAACGCCGTTTGAATTTTCCGGATCCGTCCAGTAGTTTCGGAGATACGGGGGGAGGGCAAAAACAAAATGCCCCCCCCCCCCACCACCGCGCAGAAGGTGGCCGGGAGGCCCACCGCCTGCCGGGTTAACCCTCGCCCGTATAGGGGAGGGGTCGAACGAACCCCCCTCGGTTTTTTCGCGAATTGCTCGCGTAAAAAGTGGCCGATTGCGACGAAACTTTCAGTACCCTCGCGTTGATCAATTTTACACCAACCCTGAAAATTTCATGACCCTGACCAAAATGACCTTTGACCTGTGACCTACTTTTTGAGACCATGTTTGGCCGGAATCGTGATTCGGCGTATGTCCGCTCGCATTAGCCGGGCGTTTGCAGTCTTTTCGTGGTTTCAAGCGTTCAAACATGTGATATGATGTTGCTTCCGTGCATTAGGGTGGGTGTCAAGGTCACCTGAAGGTCAGGTCAGGTCATTGACCCATGCTGACCTCGGCTCACTTTTTTAGATTTACATGTTTCTAAGCTAGTTTTGGGAGCTGAATTCGAATTTAGCAAACATATGAACATTTATGAAGTAGTTTTGGTGTCTTCGTAACATGTTACGAAGCTGTCAGAGGCGGTTGACACCTACTACGAATATCCGGCAGGACCCCTACTGGTTGACCTGACCTGACCTGACCCGACCTGGCCTAAATGCGTAAAGACAGCATCTGTGATCAGAGCTTACACGATATTCGTGATCACCAGCACCCCGAAAAAAATCATTGCAGCCACACTTTACGACGTTTTAATAGCTTCCGATTTTCCCGACTTTAGGGTCATTGACCTGACCTGGAAGGTCAACCAATGACCTATGACCTTAAACTTGGGTATCATCGGCTTTCTCTCGTCACGGGCAGCACGCTCGTTTTTTCCGTGAAGCTCTAGCTCGATCAGGGGCGAAACGGCAAGGGGAGGGGGGTCCAACGAACCCCCCCCCCCCCCACTATGCGTTCGCGGCTGGAAAAAACACCAATACGGGCGAGGGTTAAATTTTGACCTTGGATAAAATCTTTCTTCATGCTTTTTGACGCTCTTTTCAACGCAGTTTATTGTGTGTCGCCAAGTGGCCCAGGAGCCGAGTGAGAAAAGCAAACGTCACAGGGAAAATCCACGCCCGCAACGCAGGAAGTGGGAGGTGCATGGCAATGTGTACCCATGATCAGTCTCTGGTGAGATTTGAGCAAGATTGATCTGAAATAAATGGCAACAGAGGAAGGCAACTTAGCGAGAAGATAAACGTGGACAAAAGTGTTGAAGTGATCAATCAGTGAAGGATGGACCTGCAACGAGACTTAATGACCTCAGAGAATGGAGAAAAAACGCATAGCGCCGTCGAGGCACAACAGAAGAGATAAGGAGCGAGTAGTGCGGAGACCAGAGACCCAGCTGACTGCTGAATCTTCCAACAAAATGTACGGACAGGTGAAATTACGTAGTGCTTCCTTCGAGTCGCAAGCTTGTTTAGCCATTTACTGGGAAGGAAAGCTGCTGAACCTGTGCTATTTAACCTCCAACTTCGGAATGTCGCTCAACATAGATACACACATTTTAGTTCGTTGTATTGTGCACTCATTTTCTATAAAATACCTATGTTGTTATGATAAATCGAGGGATACGTCACTGTGTGTTTGAGAATCAATCGGGTTTTCATCACTTTGTATTGACAGTGCCGATGTTAATGTAAATATGGCTACCGGCTACCACTCCAATGTCCAAATCCCTGTGGTCGTAGTGATGTGCTGCTCAGGTACATCTTTTTATGTCGCTGGATACATTTCCCATGGCATCAGCAATATTGTTTCTAAACATTTTCAACTGCTGCCTCAGGCGGTGAGCGTCTTGTTGACCTCCTTATTGGTGTTGTCTGCCCAGACACTGGAGACGAGCTGCATCATCTCGTCCTTGCCGAACGGACACGAGGCGCCGTAGAGCACCTCGCAGGCCTCGGCGCCGCGGTGCTGACCCAGCCAGCCGGCCGCCTCGTAAGGCAGCTTCGAGGCCGCCACAGTCTTCTTGGTGGCGTCCAGGTCGCTGCGAACGGGACGTGTTAGGTCAGCGAGGGGTCTCCACGCGACACCCACCTCTCCCACAGCTTTGGAAAAAAAATGTATAAATGAACGAGCAGTGTTAAAACGAAGTACAACGAATTATGCCAAGGGAAAATCAACCAAGTGCTAGCTGGGTTCGCCTACAAATGCTGTTACATACGATTCACGGAGCAAATCAGGATTATTGAAGATCCCGTTTCTGTGTTTTATTTGTGGAAGACACCACTGACCCGAAGAAGGTGAGGACGGTCCGTTCGTCGTCGCTGGCCTCCTTTTCGGCGGCCTCCAGCAGGCAGATGAGTTTGAGGGCGCAGCCGTCCTGGTCGGCGGCGGCCACGGAGCCCCAGATGACGCTCTGCTCCTCGACATCCTCAACATCGTCGGCCTGGTCCAGCGCCGCCCGCCGGCCGCGGCCCCGCCTGCGGCCGGCGGAAAAGCGGCGACTGCCACCCCTGGGGGACGCAAAAGGTCACATAGTTGGCACGGGCAGTACACGCGGAGCGGGCCACACCACGAGGACCGAGGCTGGAGGTGAGATAACTTTGCCATAAGAATTGTTATAAGAGAAATGTTATTTTGATGCAACCAACACCGAGGTCATGTCAAGTCAAACACCTACATAATGGCCTCTTTTGAAGAAAGGTCTTTTTATGCTTTATGTAATTTTATGCGTTGCTGTACTTACCTCCTACCCCTTCCGGCGATGGCGGCGCCCAGCACGCCGAGGGCCGCTCCGCCGACGACCGCGGCGCCGAGAGCAGCGGCGCCTGCTCCCAGTCCTACTCCCACCCCGAACTGAGCCTGGCTGACGCCGGCCAGCAGCAGCAGACTGAGGACCACAGACCCGTACTGCATCTTGTCTCAGCTCTCTGTCTGTCTGTCTCTCACTTCTGCTGCCGCCAGAGCCGACCTGCCCTACTGCCAGCCGACGCCGACATTATATACCGACCGGCAGCCCCTGGGGCCGATATTTGGCCCCAGGCGGGGGCGGTGACTGCTCCGTTAGACCTCCCACTGCACCAGGAACTCCCTTGGTGGGTCCGCCAGGGCAGGTGTGGACGTGAAGCGAAGTATGACAGGGACATAATCCACGCCATCTGCTCTCGCCAATAGGAGGCTGGCGCTGTAAAAAGCCTTGTGCTGGGGCCACTGGCATGTGGCATGACAGGCAAATATGATTCTGTCATCAATTAGTCGCTGAGTGTGCAGAACACTCAACCAGAACCAAATCAAGGTAACACAGACGTCTGGCTATTTCAGACGCTAGTGAAATAGCTGGGTAAGGTTGGCAGATGGGCATCGCAGCTGCATGAACATTGATCAAGCAAATCCGTATGTCAAACAAATGTTGTGTTGAACATCGGCCTTATTCAGCCGTGCCTAAGCCTTACCTACATGTTCATTGTCCGTGTCTATGCGTTTTTCCTTTTTGTACCTACCTATGTAATCTCGGTAAATGGCTCTAAATTAGCCCAGAAATAACAAACGGATTGATTTACTAGAATGAGCAATAAGTTGCGGTAGAGTAGCAAGCTTCCGTAACAATTCAGCAGCGGAGGTGAAAATAGGCCCATTTTCCACCAAACAGCATCGTGACTATTCGCAATTAGCCATATCGTTTTCGATCGCATGCCGTCTACGAGTTTGGACCCGCTCGCTGGCCACTGGAGTAAGACAGTCACGATGACGGGGAAGGTAGCCCGCCCAGTGTTTGTCACTCGGGGCGGGCTGCGGACGTGGCCGAAATTTCGATCACCGCGGGGTCACCGGAGTCCGAGAGGTCACCACAGGCGGTGATCTCATCATTCGTGGCATTGGGCGGTGATACGCCGAATTGGACCGGACGCGAGCCGTCTGGTCGGCTGTCCTGGGGCTGTTTGCCGTGCCGACCGGTCAGCGTTCGCTCTTAGCTCGGAGACTGCCTTCGGGCGCTGTGTGGGATTTCATTCGTCATCTTGGAGGGCAAAGAACGTCTAGGCTGGACTGAACGGTGATTTGCGAGGCTGTTTGCGGGAAAACTAGAATAACTGGGTAGGATTTGATATGCGTGGGAATTGCACGCAAGCACATCACGACATCACGCGTCAAAAGATGCTGTCTGGCCCCTGGGTTTTGAACCTGTTGGCTCTTAGTCAGCTGTCGGAGACACTTCCGATGTGTGGTACAACCCAGTTGCGTGGTAATACGTCGTCCAAAAGCGCCTCAGTGCGTTCTGCACCATGACTGGCCTCTTGGGTAACCAAAGCCGAAAACTACCGCCATTTGTCTCGTCTGAAATCCGCAAACGTTCCGGCGGAAACTCGAATTGGCGACGTCATTTCGGCGTGACGATATCTGATGACGTCATGCGTTGTGATGACGTAGGCCGCGTCTACCGCAGTGCTAGCCAACATCACTGTTGACGGGCTACAGCGAAATATATTTTTACTACTCTTTCACCGTTAAGTGATGTGATTTCGGTCTTTAATGTGCGTTTTTTTCGTAATCAATTCATTACCTACCTATCTACATTAGGTAATGTGGAGATAGATGACTAGTAACTAAAAAATTGTACGAAATTTTGTAAAAGTGCCTGGCACCTTCGGATTACTGTGTTGTGCGGTCTGCACCAAAGCAAACTTTTGTAGATGAACATTCATGCAAATCTTTGAAACTTGCAAACTACTATCAACTCCTGTCTCCTCATCAATGACCACCATCGTCAATATGAGGGTTACCTATATTTTGCATAAGTCATGGGCCGCTAGCAACCCCCAGATCAAAAGGTTTCTTGGGACCTGGCTAACCGGGAGGGTACGGGGACCCGCAGTTCCTACTGTACAGCGACCCTGAGTAAATTGTTCCAGCACTATCAGAGGGAACAACGATAAGCTGTCAGAGGGCACGCACAGAAAACCTCAGCTGCTCTTGTACAGGGACCGGCAGTCGATATCAATGTTATCGGTTGTTACTGGACAGGACAGACGGCTAGAGTTGGGGTTCGTGTACAGTAGCAACTGCGGGTCCCCGTACCTGCTGAGTGCTGAAGCCATTGCTAGTTGCTACCTATTTAGGGAACCATCAAAAACGGACGGCGAATTTTGCTGTAACTTCATATTGTAAGTGGGAGGTAGAGAACGGTCCGTATACCTAAGATCTTATTTTTTTGCTCTGAACGTCGAAATACCCTGGTCATGTGTCATTACTCGTCCGCTTCTTTGCCTCTTATCCGTTGATTGATAATGGTTACATGATAAGCTTAATGGGAATCGATTAAATTCGATGACCATAAGGTGTGAAAGACAACTCAGGGCCGTCATGTTCCATATCAGTGATTCCATTCCGAGGTGTCTGCTGTCTAGCCTCTGACTCGTAAGATCAAAAGGCGTGAATAATGCCCCCGTGCCATACGCCACTACACCCTTACACCTGCCCAAGGGTTTCCCTGCTGGTATGCGGTCCAGTAAAGAGTAGTCACCGCCCCCGCCTGGGGCCAAATATCGGCCCCAGGTGCTGCCGGTCGGTATATAATGTCGGCGCCTGCTGGCAGTGAGGCAGGTCGGCTCTGGCGGCAGCAGAAGTGAGAGACAGACAGACAGAGAGCTGAGACAGAATGCAGTACGGGTCTGTGGTCCTCAGTCTGCTGCTGCTGGCCGGCGTCAGCCAGGCTCAGTTCGGGGTGGGAGTAGGACTGGGAGCTGGCGTCGCCGCTCTTGGCGCTGCGGCCGTCGGCGGAGCGGCCCTCGGCGTGCTGGGCGCCGCCATCGCCGGAAGGGGTAGGAGGTAAGTACATCGATATATAGGTAAATAAAACGATGTGTGAACTTTGTCAGTAGGTCATCAATTTGAAATCTTGAGAACAAAGTTTTATCATGAAATTGAGCTTTCGTTTTCAAATTGTATTCCACAATGCATCAGTTCAACGGAACGTAGTCGCGTCTAACGGTGGAGATTATGCAAGTGTCTCATGAATTGTGAGTGATCATTATCAAATCCACCTCTTCACAAATCCCTCAAAACATCTCTCGATGGCAAGATTCATGGCCCGCTCCGTGTAACATGACCCGTGTCGTCTGTGTCACCTAACCGGCGTGCCCCAGGGGGCGCGGCCGCTCGTTCCGCGGCAGGCGGTTCCGTGGCAGACGGTTCCGCGGCCGGCGGGCGGCGCTGGACCAGGCCGACGATGTTGAGGATGTCGAGGAGCAGAGCGTCATCTGGGGCTCCGTGGCCGCCGCCGACCAGGACGGCTGCGCCCTCAAGCTCATCTGCCTGCTGGAGGCCGCCGAAAAGGAGGCCAGCGACGACGAACGGACCGTGCTCACCTTCTTCGGGTCAGTGGTGCTAGTCAACAATGCTATCGAAAAATGTTTATGCCTACCAGGAGATTTATCTGTGGGTTTCTTTAAGTAACTGTTAATTCTGGATTGGTTCGTGACAACTTCAAACATTTATGAGCGAACTCTAAAAGCAGTTCTTTGGTCAACTTGCTGTTGTAAAATGCACCGTTATCGATGTGAGGCAGACGCATCTTCCAACAAAGCAGACTTTCCCGCTCACTTCAATATGATAAGTTATTTTACGACACTTTTTACTCATCATGCCTTATTGACCTGCAATTACCTACGCAAAACGAGAAGGATGGCAGTGGCACGCCCTCCATCAGTCATCAGTTCATTGCAAGCATGACACTCGGACCCATACACTTTCTAACCGTGCCTTTCCCGTCTACAGCAACCTGACCGACACCGACAAGACTGTGGCGGCCTCGAAGCTTCCTTACGAGGCGGCCGGCTGGCTGGGTCAGCACCGCGGCGCCGAGGCCTGCGAGATGCTCTACGGCGCCTCGTGTCCGTTCGGCAAGGACGAGATGATGCAGCTCGTCTCCAGCGTCTGGGAAGACATGGACGAGGAGAAAGAGGTCGACAACACCGTCAACGCCTGAGCTGACATTCAACCTGAAAACGTGTGTTCATGGATATTTCCTCTGCGTTGTCATCGGCTCTAAGTCACAGCTAATAGAGGCGTGAAAAAACCTTTCTTAGTGAGACGTAGCCGCTTGCTCTATGATCAGAAACCATGGAGTATTTTAGATAATTCACCAATAGCTGCGTGGATTTCCAAACATTATTGAAGCTGCACTGCCTGCGTGGTCGAATTCGTGTTGATGACAATACAAAATGTGATTGGATTTTATTGTTTTAGCTGGTTGTTGCAACAATGCACGAAGCAAGATCGTCTGTTTAGTACGTTTAGTATTGGAACGTTTGACTGCAGACATGCTACAAGTCCTCTCGCAGGACATTCTTTCATCCTGCTTCGGTTGGCTTTCTAATCAAAATAGCATGCCATCAAGAGCATGTTAAGAACTTTGGTTAACTGCGCTTTAATTAATTTGCAGCTGAAGTTCCTGAATTTAGGTAGGGGAGAGTGGGGTAATTTGGCCGCTTTTTTTAGAAAACGATGTAACTAAAAATCGACAACACATTTTTGCATTTTCTCAACGCTGACAGGTGTGGCATACATTTTACTTTCTTGGACAGTAAACTTGAAATGATTGAGTAACTACTTATATTGAAATTGTGGCGTATTACAAAGGTCTGCAAAGCGGCCAAATTGCCCCACTAGCAGGGTTATTTGGCCGGGGGGTGTGGGGCAATTCGGCCGGTGTTAGTTTGAGGTCATGATTTTTGTTATAGGCGAGTCAGCTTCACATTCAGCAATGACGCGTGTCCTACGACGCATTTGAAGCATTTTGGAGGTTGACTCAGCCGTCACAGGGGTCGAAAATAGTCAAAATAGCGACTCTAGATGCCATGACAGTTTTTTTTACGAATAACTTTTGAAGTAATCAAGTTAGGCCAAAACTAAAATTACCATCGTAATTCTCTCGTCATTCCGCATCGAAACATGTATGTGTTGACCTCGAGAGATCAAGGTCAAGGTCATAGTCAAGGTTGGCTTCAGGTCACGTTACCTCAGGTCGCTTGACCTCAAGGTTACGTGAGTTCAAGGTCATCATGCATATCATTCGATGCGCCTTGACGAGCTGAACACAATGAGACCATTTGCGCGGCTGTATCTTTTTTCTGTAAGTATTTATTAGCAAAAAGAGCGTTAGGTAACCTTTGATGACGTCACATGCCCTTACAGCTGTCCAATAGGAAATATAGCATCAAGGTAGTCAAAGTTGGTCATGAATTATGTCCTTTATGGTATAATTGACCATGACAACTCGGCCGTCCCAGCATAGTGACTCTGAGCGCACCGGCCAAGTTGCCCCGCTAGTCCCGGCCGAATAACCCCACATTGCCATTCTGAAATTTTTTGTCTATAAAGTCGTCATGGCTGTACAGAACTAGATGACATTGCTCTTGGAACCGCTGAACATCCTAAAAAATGGCGCTATAATGTTGAAATTCGTTTACAGCCCAAATACTACATGTTATACAAATTTTTAAACGGAAGTAAAAGTTACCATTTTCTAACGTAATTCACCTTATATTAATTTTGAATAAAACTAAGAGGGGGAAAGTTTTGACATTTGTTCTCGAGTTAGTTCTGCCGATGACAAATGAATAGAGACTAAAAATATTTCATTCAGTTTTATCAGCTTTCGTACAGGTGGGGGCGGCCAATTTACACCACCGGCCAAATTACCCCACTCTCCCCTACCTTTTTGTTTTTCAATCAAAACCGACATGGAGTCGAAGGTCAAAGAGAAAGCAACAGGTCGATGTGACGGCTGTGAATGTGATTAGACGATAGCTCGCATATGAGTGAAAATGGCTGCCTGGATGCCGCTCCTCTTTTAGTCGCATCAAGTTTGTTCTGTCAATATCAAACACGGCGCATTATAGGTACTGTTTGTTCTGCGTATATAAAGTATACTAGCCATGCCTATTTCTAGATGGACAGCTACTGTTCTTTTCTCTCACCAAGTTGATATTTTTTGCACAATAGTCCATAAGGCCAGCTGTAAACCGCCCGTCAAAACGCCAGGCTCTTTACGCGTCGCACATAAAATGTGTTAACTAACCTAAACAAACCACAGCGCCCATTGCCAATCCTCGTTGAGTCATGCGATACCGCTTCCAGGATACCGCCTTTGAAGGCCGCTTTTCAAGCATGGCGGCTTTACGATCTGTCACCCAACATGACACTTTTCACAGTGGCGCGACGAAGGGCGTTTCGCCCAATTTAGCGCAGACAAGCGTTGGCTTCTCAGCGCTATGTTGCACGATTCTAATTGTTTAACCACGTGTTTGAGTTCCGTGCCACGGTCATAACTTACACAGCTATTGCATTTATGCTACAGCACGCATCAGTTACAGTAGATAAAGTAGACATGCAATCATTTACAGTAAAGCTAGCACATACGTCGCATGTTTTTTAAGGAAAATTGTGTGATAGTTTTATATGCGTGCAGATCAAGATAAGAACCCGTAAGTTTGATAATACATACCTGAAACGTCAGCATTTAGAATGACTGAAATACAGGTCTGCATTGTCGGATATGCCGTAGCTCGGCCACCGACCTCCTATGACCTGCTGTATGACCACTAAACACCGTCATAAATTGTAGTTCATATCCTTCGGTAGGAAATATCCGCGGGGTAACGCCTCGAACAGGGGTCTCACCGCCGCGCCGATAAGCGCAGCAGAGTGTTTTTTACTTGTTCTGTTTTGATAGCTAAAGGGGTGGTTGTGGATCGTGTTGCTTACATAATGCCTATGAGAAGGTAGTGTAAAGTGTAGCAGCAGCTGTGCTGCGGGCCCTCCAGCACCAGCAGTCAGCACGGGACTGTCGGGTCGGTTCGCAAGGTCGCTCGCTCATGGCGCGACCTTCGCTGGACCGAGGCTGCACATGAGCTGGACACAAAGCCGGGGAGGTCGCCCGCCGGGCATTGCAGAGTGCAGATAAAACGGCGCAGCGCGGTGTGGCCAACTAAGGAGAGTTTAAAGTACCGGGGTGGTACAGTCGTGTACAGGTTGATGGTCCTCTACTCTTTATCCACCGGGTTCCTATGGCTCAGCGTTGGCAGCAGCCGCCTGGTACCGGTAGGCTGTGCCGCATGACCCGAGAGTGAAGCGGCACAGCCTACCTGCACACTGTATGACACCGGCTCGGGTCGCCTGGTAAAGCGATTTGACCGGACGCTGCGTTACACCGGCTGGGGGGAGGGGGGGGGGGGGTAAGGGTCAGGCTTGTCAATTTGGCTCGGCTCGGTGGATGAGGCGGGCTGGAGTGTGGTGTGGGGCGGGGGTGATGTGGGGAGGGAGTGAGCGGACCTGGGGCTGGGTGTGTGTGCTCACTTGTCGCATAGAACCGATCGTAATCCACCCTCCAAAAATTCGCTTTATAGATATTCACAAAACCCAGGGAGGTTCAAACACCCATCTCCCAATTAGGGTGCGGAAAGACAGGTAAGGGTCCATACGGTCTCCTCATGAATTGCAGCAAAGAAAGAAAACAGGTCAGTCACCAAATATTCTTTCTGAAAAGTGGACTAATCGCAAAGCCTCCCACACAGAAATAAACATCCAGCACGCGAAGCGTCTCGAACCGGGCCTCTCACTACCGGTCAGTTTGACAGTCTATCACTCCTACACTGAGCTACACCGGATCGCGGATCAGGCCGGGGCAAAGTCCGGCTGGGCGGGCGGCGGGGCAGGGCGGTCGGCAGCAAAGTCAATGAATGTTTTTGTATTAGGTCGTTCAATAAGTAACGAACAATCGGTCATAACTTCTTTATTTCTTTATGTAACACTTTCAAACTTTCACAGATTATAGATCAAATGTTTCTGAATGTATCCTTTGCCTCAAACCAGTCGCCGCCCGCCTGCACACACTTCTCCCAGCGTTCCGGCCAACGCCGGAATTCCGCCCTGAAAAACGCGTTTTCCGTCTTTTTCACCCAGTTCATGACAGCGCACCTGACTTCAGCGTCGGTCTCGAAGTGTTCACCACGGAGGCCATCCTTCAGGGGACCAAATGGTGAAAATCTGAATGAGCCAGGTTCGGATTGTAGGGCGGCTGGGGCATGATATTCAGCCCTGTCTCGCGATCTCCTCGCGTGTGGCGTGAGACATGTGCGGACGAGCGTTGTCATGGTGTCATCCTGGTGGGCTTTCTTGAACCTGGGCGGACTATGGACAGCGGGCCACTACATCACAGTCCCGCAGGAGACTGAGAAAAGCAATCCTGAAGAAGAGGCGCGGCTCGGATGTCAACAACATCACCATACACCATGACAACGCCCGACCGCACTTGTCTCACGCCACGCGCGAGGAGATCGCGTGACAGGGCTGAATATCATGCCCCAGCCGCCCTACAGTCCGGACCTGACTCCTTCAGATTTTCACCTCTGGTCCCCTAAAGGATGGCCTCCGTGGTGAACACTTCGAGACCGACGCTGAAGTCAGGTGCGCTGTCATGAACTGGGTGAAAAAGACGGAAAACGCGTTTTTTTTCCGGGCGGAATTCCGGCGTTGGCCGGAACGCTGGGAGAAGTGCGTGCAGGCGGGCGGCAACTGGTTTGAGGCATAGGCTGCATTCAGAAATGTCTGATCTATAATATGTGAATGTTTGAAAGTGTTAAATAAAGAAATAAAGAAGTTATGACCGATTGTTCGTTACTTATTGAACGACCTAATAGGTTCGGGTGCCGGTCGCTCTAGCTTGGTGGAATGATGATGGATCATTGGCAAAACTTTCAACGTGGAGTCCCGGTTCGAGCCTCATCGGGGCTCCGGCTACTTTTCCGAGTTAGGATCTGGTTTGATTTTAGTGGTTGCGAACCATTTATACGGTTTTATACCTACATGTCGATTGTCGATTGACTGATTGATTCATTCATTCGTTCATTTAATACATGTCGACATTTAGCATACGAATTGACATCCATGATCAATCTACCATTTTCATAAACGTATTGCCTAAATATCATGCATATATGTGGCACAAGACCTATGGTTGCCTCGATACCGTGCCAAATCACGTTTTGCAATATGCACAAGTAAAGTAAATTATATTCGCTGGGTCTTCCGTCCATTGTGCTTAGCAAAAATAGGAATGCAATTGTTAAGCGACGTAAAATGTGCAAGGCAGAAAGTGACCACACACACCCGCCCAGCCCCCATGGTCCACCAACACGCCCCTCACCACTCGCCAGCCCACGCCAACCACCG